CAGGATGTTCTGTTTCTCCTACCAAGTCAAAAACATCTTCTGCTGGCAAGAATATGAAATTAGAAATATTTTCATCTATCAATTGCAGCTCTTTCTTCTTGTATCATTCTTTCACAGGTCCTAAAATAAGCTTCTATTTCTTCATTAGTAGTTATAGTTTTAGTAATGGTATTGCACAAATACTGTAGTTTGTTGTAGTATTCACTGACTGTTTCCCCTGGCCTTTGCTTACAATTCCGAAGTTCTTTGTTGCCTTTCTGGACCACAAAATTTGGATAAAAATTGGTACTTTATGTCTTTACTCTGATTTCCAAGTTTCCCATGTTATTATGGTTTTTCTAATAGCTCTCCGCCATGTCAAGGCTGGTCCTTTCAAACTAGCTGATAATAAATCTAGCATTCTATTATCCTTTACCCATTCACTTCACAAGCAGCTTCATATTGGTCAAGCCATTCATATGGATCATCTTCCCCACCTCCAAATTTTGGAAATTCTGACCACTTAGTCTCTTTTCCCCCTAGTTCTGCTGCTCTGAAGGCTTTCACCAGTTTTTGCAAATTTTTCTCCTCTTTATCATCTGGGTTAACTTCATCTTCTTCACCGATGATGGTTCTTCTTCATCATCATTGTTGTCTAAATTAATTTCTAATACATATTTGTCTGATCCAGTCTGGTTCTTTTCCAAGTATTCTGCTACTGTGTCAAATATACCTTTGCTTTTTTGTTTAGCTAGCTCTCTTTCTCTTCTGTCATGTGCTTGGGTTAGTTCTAACAATTTCTTCTGGATTTCCAGCATGTGATGTTTTTGATAGCTTGTTATTTGCTCTTGTTCCTCAGTGAACAAGTCACTGGCTTTCTCGGCAAGAAGTTTCTTAATTTCGTCTTCATTAAACCCATCCTTGTCATCATTGAACTCTTCCTTTCCTTTCCCTTTTCCTTCATATAGTAATTTTACTGGTATGAATAGTTTGTCTTGTCTGTCTTTTACATGAAGTGAAATTTTTGGATCTTGACAGTGCCATCCCCCTTTAAATCCTTTCTTGAACTCTCTTCCTTCCACTTTGAATTCAGTGGCCTCATCTAGATCACAAATCACATACTGAGCTCCAGTTGATGATACCTCAGTCTTTATATTTGGTAATTTTGATGATGTGCTCATTACTGATTTTTCTGATACTGTATCATTATAACTTTCTGTTGTGTCTGAATTTTCTCCCGAGCTTTCAAATAGTGTGCTACAGTCTGATACTGTTTGGATTGATTCCGAATATTCAGATTCTTGGTATACTGACTCATTTGTAATTAATATTACACCAAGTATTTTTTCATTGACAACATTCGACCAACCATCCAATGCAACTGCCACACCATATTCAGGGTTAGATGCTTGCTCTTTTATCCAATTATTATGCATCATTCAAAATTCTTCTGGAAAGAGCCTTCCTATTTGGATTCAACCATCTGAAAAGGGACTTTACTTCTTCGCTTTCAATCCACCTAAAAGTCAAACCATTAAATACAGTTATACAAAGCAAGTGATCCTCCAATATTGGATCCTTCAGATTTTGTAGGAGTACATAGCATAAATCTCTCAATATTACATTATTGCTTTGAAAAGAGCCCAAAGACAAATTTGTGATATTTTTATTTAGTGATGTTGATGTTGATGTTAACATTGATGAGGGTATTGTCATTACCTGAGATAAAAACAAATTAAAAAACAAAAATATTAATTAATTTCTTAAATTACCAAATGAGTTCATTACAATAAATTAATAATACTTAGTTCAATTGTACATGCTCTTTTTTGAGAATTTGGGTGTATTTCTTCTTCCAAAATTTGATTGATGTTTTGCTCTCCTACTGCCACTTTGAAATTTTCGCATTTTTTAAATGTGACTTAATTCTATCTTTTTTATTCAATAATTTATTCTGATATGCAATCAGTGTTGTGACCAGAAACTCTTTTGGCTTCCCGAAACGTTTCGGAAAATGAACTTACACTAAGCAGAAAACTA